TGACGAGGTCATGCTGAGCAGATGTTGGCACGAGGACTGGAAGAAATGGAAAGCGAAACCAATGAAAATTAAATGAAATTGGGGTTACTGAATAAAGTAAAATACGATTTAAGTACACTAGGTTAAATCAAACTACGTGTGAAAAGGGCTTTTAATGAATAATGCCCCGTTATGGAATTGGTGTGGAGAGTTCATCTGAAAGTATTAGAACGTTTTTAGAACCAATGAAGCATTTCTAGGTATTTCTAGCATAAGTTTCAAATGTAAAGTCAAATGATTGGGGTGTTTCTGCCGTTCTTTGGCAAACAACGCCATCGAATAGTTCAAATACTGAATAATAATTATTATTATTATAATTTATAGTTTCAAAATCACTTTTGAAATTTGCGTAAGCCAATGTGAAATTTTGATTGAATTACAAAAGTTATAACTGTTCATAATGGCACGAAACACCACCGAAAAAAGTATTGCAACTACTTATCTGTGGCGCCCTCTCTTTATTGACTCCCGTAATGGAATCTTAACAGACAATCTTTCTACGTGCTCAAATTCAAACTCAAAACTTGCATGTGCCTTGGGTGTACACAGAGTGTGTTTCACATGCGCATACAGCAGTACCAGGATTAAAAAAATTAATTCGCATGCCAACGAAAGTGCCAACTAAGCCACCATGGAACTTCAAGAAAGCTGACTGATCTAGATTCACAATCCTCTTTGAGAATTAACTTCACACAAGTCCAATCAACTTCATTTAACATCCTGACAAACTTTGCAACGACATCACAGATATTATGACCAGATGTGCAAAGAAAAATATTTCCCGAGGCAAGACTAAACACTTTCGAGTGTTTTGGTCTGAACACCTTGAGAAACTGAAAAGAAAGCGTGGCGCCCTTCGCAACGCTGCTGGTCAGACTGGAAGAAGGGAAGACGCACATGCCTGGAGACGGCAGTCAGCTGTCCTAATGCAAGCCATCCTACAAGCTAAATGGACTACTGTTCTAAGACAAGCCATCTTACAAGCTAAACGGACTTCCACTATGGCAAGCCATCTTGCAAGCTAAACGCACTTCTTTCGAATCTCAAATATCAACTATCAAAGTGATACCCAACGCACTTTCCAACAAATATCAACTATCAAAGTGATAGCCAACGCACTTTCACATTCCTGGGTAACCTCCAAAACAACAAATGGGAAAGCCCCAAGAAAGAACCAAAACGCTTAAACAACAAACAGATAACCACCGACTTCGAATTAGCTAACTACAACAACCAAGCATTACGAGTAATTACTGGAGGGATACAATCAACAAACATTGATGCAATGCTCCTGGTTTCAGTGAGCACCACATTATGTTCCATTATCAAAGAGAATGCCTTGATCCCGTATGAGAAGCTAATGCAAGTTCCCATGGATAAAGTATGAGAATCTACTGCGCATTCCCATGGATAAGTTCTTCCAGCACCTATGAGAATAGACCAAGACATCTGAAAACGCAAGCTGCAAATACTGTACATTCCCATGGATAAGTTCTTCAGCACCCATGAGTAACGCAATCTGGTCTAATACAGAAAGCCATAGAACTGAATGAGGAATTACGAATTCATGAAAAAACCAAAGAGTTCTTCTCTACCCATGGATCCATCAGCAGACACTAATGTAGTGTGTTGCACCCAACTGCTTGACTACTTCAGCAAAGCGAACACCCATTCAAGAACCAATGAGCTCACTGGCCATTAAGACAATCAATGTCAACTATCCTGGAGATCGATGGCTCCAAGTCTTCACTGAGGGGTCGTACATAGAAAACCAAGCGAAACTTGGTGCAGGTGTCTACTCAGTACACCTCGCTTTATACGCAGCAATGGGACACAAAAGATTTACTTTCGAAGGGGAAATAGAGGCTACTAGGATATCACTAAATCAGTTATGTTGCCTGGATACGAAATTCACCAAAGTCGTAACACTTTCGGACTCACAGTCAGCAATAAACGTAATTGGAAACAGAGAGCCACCCAAAACAGATGAGATATACGGATGTAACAAACTGTATCAGCTGATGAGAGAAAAAACAAAAAAAGTGGTTCAACAATGGATTCCTGGTCACTGTGGCAGTAAAGGCAATGAGCTTGCTGGTGCATTTGATAAGAAGGAGACACTAGTTTCACACGGAAGGACCGCCCGATGTCTTTCCATACAATGAAGACTTTAATCAGGAGAGAATTCAAGACCTCAAGTTGCAACGAACTTATAGCTCGAACAAAGGACAAACAGTGGACAGTGACACTCTCAGACATAGCCGAGTTGCCAAGAATCGAAGCCTTGCTGAGTTTGGACTACGTACCGGACTCGACTGCCTGGCATAACACCTTCACAGATAAGGAGTACACGATCAAACTCACATTCCTCCTATGTAAGCTACAGGAGGAAATGGGGAATACCCATCTGATTCGGTGTATTGCCCTAACGACAATGACAGAAACCCAGAGATACTGTGAAGCAAGAAGACAGCTTATGAACTGCTATTTATTAACTGCTATATATGTACCCTCACCCATGGAGAAATCTGAAGCATAAGATCGAAGGCTAATGCTAAATATCATAAAGCCTGCCATTTGAAATAATTATAATAATGTCTTCCACAAAATAATCATTTGACCATTTCATATTTCTGTCATTTATTTTTTCAATGTACTCGTTTATGGGCACTTTGCTAATATGCTGAAGATAGCATAACGATTATGGTGAAAATGATTGACAAACAGGTTTTATTGCTTCACACTGAATATTACGCTTAACCAAAATATTTTTATCAATGGCAATAACACCGACACCATCCATCAAGGTGACAAGAAATATGCATGTACGCGCAGTGCACAATCTGACTAAACTCACACACGCACATACATATGCAAGGAACCATTTATTCAGCTCAGCAAATATGCCGTGAGCGCTGTGAATAATTTTTTTGGATGCAATAAAATTAGTGGAGCATGTTCACAGCACATTGGTAACGTTTAACACAAAAGCGTTCAACTGATATATTTCTAGTGGGTTTTCACATGATTGAGGTGTTTCTGCTGTTCTTTGGCAAATAACGTGGTCGAATAGTTCAAATACTGACTTATTGTTACTATTATTATTAGTAATAGTAGTTTCAAAATCACTTTTGAATTCGCGTAAGACGATGTGAAATTTTGATTGAATTACAAAAGTGATAACTATTCACAATTGATCGAAACACCACCGAACAAAGAATTACAACTACTTATTGACCCCAGTAATGAAATCTTAACAGACAACATTTCTACGTGATCAAATTCAAACTCTAAACATGCATGTGCCTTGTGTGTACACAGAGTATATTTCAATTACGCGCACAGAAGTACCAGGGTTGAAAAAGAAATTTGCATGGCTTCTCAGACAAAATTTGGCTAGTTATGGTCTCTAATAATTATCACTTATATCAGCCTGCATTTATGGCATTGGCTATCGATCACAATTGGGTCATCGATTCACATAAAATAATGTTGAAAGATGCAAAATTGTTACATTGGAATGATGGATGTTACAGGCGCTATCCACACAATGTCATCTTGGTCTGGTTCCTTTTTCTACACCTCGCGACTTAGAGTCCTCAGGAAAACCAAGTTGTGACACCGGCGGAAAAGTGGAAGAGCCTGATGCTTTGGTCTCCATCCGTTCTTCCGATTCTGGCGCGCCGGCCATAACGTCTGAATATACGTTGCAGGCTAATATAATAATAAGTAAAGAAGCAAGAATACGCTTGATAGTGAACGGTCAAATTACAATTCAAAGTAGACCTGTTTTTGTATCAAAGAACTTGACTTAGTTAAGAAAAGACAAATGATGTCATGAATTTGCAGGTCAAGTGCATCAACCATGATATTCAGTTGAGGAAAAGAAACCATTAACTCATGACCCATTGACAAACAAAATGACAGGGGAAGTAAAAACCTTGGCTGCATTGCAATTATTTTGCATTTTGAAGTTATGACAAATAATTTTGTTAAATAACAAACCGTTTCATTCATATATTTATTCAGTATTATTGTGGAGCAGCAAACTACACGACTCTTTGCAAAATAATGTCCAATTGCGTCTAGAGCGAGATCTGAAAAATTCTGTTGGCATTGCGATGAAATTTAAATTGCCGCAAACGCCAGTTTAAAATTGTGGGACCCGTCATCGCATGCCTGCACGCCAGGATTGGGAGGTGCGACCGTACAAACAGTGACCAATCATTAACCTCTGTTTGCTTAACCTAATCCGCCATCCTGATAATGATTAAGCTCCCTGCATGTACACTTTATCCGCAATACTCGTACTGAATAAACGTGCTCCGTGCTACATGTCTGTTCCCCTTATAGCTGGGCTATAGCTTAGCTGGTTCTGGGAGTCTAGCTAGATGTAGGAGGATCTGCCACAGAGATTTCTGAGTCAGTCAGGCTTTTCTAAGGTAGCAATCCACTACAAAATATAAATTTATTTAAGAAAGGTTAATGGTCTGGCTCAGAAAGTATAAGCATTACAGAAGCACATGAAATTATT